CTGCAATACGTACGTTCTTGAACCAAATGGCATTACAACATTTTACAGGTATTAAAACACACTAAACAATGATCATCTACAAGTGGGTGGAAAACGTATGTGTAAACTTCAAAGTGCGAAATTATAAGAATTGAAACTCGCTCGTTCACACGAGTTTGAACACCGCTTTGACATCGTTCATTTTTCAGTGCAAACACACAAACTGACATTCAATTCTTAAATATACAAACGCAGTTGCTTGACCTGGCCTGACGTATTGCAAATCGTTCCCGGACGCGAGTGCATGGGAGCCGTGTCACAGCTGCTGGCCACGCACAATAAAACAAGCTTTTGGCTACAAGTATTGTCAATGTTACAGTGTCACATGTGAAGTTTAGACAAAACAAGCTTTTGTCTATAGGTGTTGCCAAAGTAAGTGTCTCACAAAGGAAGACTAGATAAAACAAGCTTTTGGCTACAGGTATTGTCAATGTTACGGTGTCACATGTGAAGTTTAGACAAAACAAGCTTTTGTCTATAGGTGTTGCCAAAGTAAGTGTCTCACAAAGGAAGACTAGATAAAACAAGCTTTTGGCTACAGGTATTGTCAATGTTACGGTGTCACATGTGAAGTTTAGACAAAGCAATCTTTTGGCTATAGGTGCTGCCAAAGTAAGATTTTCACACAGGAAGACTAGATAAAACAAGCCTTTGGCTATAGGTATTGTCAAAGTCGCTGTGTCACATGTGAAGTTTAGACAAAACAAGCTTTAAGCTATCGCTATTGTCAAAGTCACTGTGTCACATGTGAAGTGTGTACAAAACACGCTTTTGGCTATAGGTGCTGCCAAAGTAAGTGTTTCACACAGGAAGACTAGATAAAACAAGCCTTTGGCTATAGGTATTGTCAAAGTCACTGTATCACATGAGAAGTCTGGACAAAACAAGCTTTAAGCTATCGGTATTTTCAAAGTCTCTGTGTCACATGTGAAGGGTAGACAAAACACGCTTTAGGCTATAGGTCTTGTCAAAGTTACTGTGTCACACAGGAGGACTGCACAAAACACAAGCGTCAGACTCTCAGTGATTTTTATTGTAGCGCCATGAGCTTGCACACGTGCGTGGATACAGGAGCATTATACATGTCCATTATTATACAGATTGTGGTGGTGTGTGGTCCTGTCCTTAGAACTCAGGTCACAAATCAGTTGACGTTAAGCAACGTTGGACACGGACTGGTCTATGATGGTGACCGTGTTTGGCAGCTTGACTCCTGGGATTTTCTAGGACTTCAGTCCTGCCCACACTGAAACATGAGATGAGAGACTTGTGGTGTCACCTTGGGTAAGGGGCTAGTTCGAAATGTGCCTCTGTCCACCCAGCTGTAAATTAGGAACCTGTGGCTCTTTTCACTAAGGTTAACCTAAACTCCCATTCTTTAACATTGCACTAAAGTTACCTTCGTGACCTACGACCACCTTAGTGTTGTGAAAGGTGGCACTGGTATGATACGATGGTTGTCTGAAGTTTAACCTTGAGCGCCTAATAGGCGACTGGTTGTATTCTCCACAGGGAGTGTTCTGTACACGTTGACCAGGGTAATATGCCAGCGCTGCGAGCATGCAGTGTGCATGGATAAATGCGCAATATATATGGACTGTTATTATAATTATTATTGTATACAGATCAAGATGAAAATGCAGCAGAGAGGTTTCGGGTGATTCTAGCACAGTCAGGCTGGTAAGGCTCATCGTCAGCTCAGGGCCCTTGTCTATCTACATGCAGCCCAGACAGCGAATAGGACTTCTCCCAGTTGAACCCATCAATAACTTTCCGGAGAATATGTAGACTCCCCAACACTGCAGCCTTCTGGATTACCCAGATTGTCAGAAGGGTTGTGCTCGGAGAACCCGGGCACTCTCCTGATCTTTGCCAAGACTTCAGGAGGTAGCAAACCAAGGGCATCGAGAACTGTTGGGAGTCTGACGACAGTGTACTTGGGGTGTAAGCAAGACATTTCAAAGGCGAGGTCCGCATTTTTAGCATGCTTTTCCTGAATCTCGCCAATCACGTTGCTGTGAATAGGGAAAGAAAATTCAATGAAATAAATAAATTCATTAGCTTTATCAAATAGGACAAGGTCAGGTTTGCTGGCTGGAATTCGTCTGAGGTTTTATATGGGCCTATTCCACAGAAGTTTGAAAGCTTCATTTTCAATGACACCTGGGATATGTTCAGGGTCGTACCTTGGATGCACCTCAGGGTCAAAGCCACAGGCATGTCTCAGACGATAGTAGAAGCAACGAACCATGCCATCATGTCTTTTGGCCGTTTGTGCCAAGGAAGGGCATCCACTGACAAGGTGTTGGACAGTCACAGTAAATTCAGTACACAGTCGACACATTTTCTTTTAGAATCCCATTTAGGCGATTGCGAGTGGGAAGTGACTGGTCCCGAGCAGATAAAAGGTAGCCCTCAGTTTCACATTTAAAACCATCCGTCTTCATCCAAACGAAGGAGTCGGTTGAATTGCTATTCTGTTCCACATACTGCATGTACACACGATGCAATAGTTTCTCAGAAAGCTTCTCCACAAATGGCCGACTCTGTGCAGAATTGGTGAATGATTTCACCTGGTTTCCTCCCACCGCTGTACTATCCAGCAGTACATCACCGTCAACAAAATCAACCTCACATTTCAGATTCTGTCCAACAGCCTTGGCACGCTTACAATAGGTGTGAAATTCCTTGCTTTCATTATGAGTGTTGACATGCATCACCGATAAATAAATGCGGTGATGTGCTTGAGCCACTTCTAATCACAAGAAGGTGATCCTTGACTTCTTCTGCTCTCTGAAAAGTATGTCATTAGAAGAGTTGTAAGATGACACGAGGTTTGTCAAACACCCTTTGAATATTTTTTATTGAGTATTCAAACATGTGATAGGCGGATGTTTTAGGGATCACTCAAATCTCCTTTTGGGGGGAAAGAGTAGTGTATTATTATGATTATTTTTACCATTAAAAGTCCGTGCATATGACCAGCATTAGGCTCATGTTTGCCTCATGGAGAATCCAAAACCTAAGCATAAAGTCCTCGGTGTTGTCAAGGTTAGTAATTCGCACATGAAGACTGGATGACACAAGCGCTAGGCTGTCTGTATTGTCAAGTTTAGTGTGATGTACTAGCAAACTGCATTTCATACTGATAACGCTGATCTACTTTGGCTCCCTAATATAACTGATAACTGTAACCTGAAAATCATGTCTGGCTGCACCGAGACGATAGATTTCAGGGAAATGTGATGTGTTGTTTGTAACTACGTCGCATGTATTTAGACTTTGTACTATGAGTTAATCTTCATATTCGATATTTCATTCTGGCTGGACACAGAGGACCAGAAGGCCGTACCGACAACACCGTTCCCCATTCTACAGAAAGCAACTAGCCTGAGTATGAAGTATATTCAGTGTACCTGCAGCAAACGACGACCATAGATCAGGTGGGATGCGGTTGGCTAATAATGTTCTTTTTTATTTTCTTTAATTTGCCAAGCTAGAGTAAAAAGAGAATACTAACGTAATTTAATTTTGGATGTTTGGAAAATAACATTCTAAAAGTCACCTTCCGTTACTAAAATTTCACAAAAGTTTGTAAAATGGCAGTAAACAAAAAACGTACTCATATTTCCGCCTATTATGGAAACACCCGACAGTTAATGAGCACAGGGGTTATCACGTGACATGACGTCATATGTGCCTATTGCTGATAGCTTCCTCTTTGATTTTGCCTCGCAAATTAACAGTGAGTGAGTGAGTTCTGAAGCAATAAAAGGTGTTCCTTATGTCATTTTTGAAATGGATGTTACACCGTATCAATACGATCCGATTTTACATCTTGCATGACAATATTCTCGTGAAGATGAAAAAGAAGAATCAAGTGAAACGGAGCCAGAGCCACCCACTTGATGTCAAGATAATTTTAAGAATAGATCATATAATATTTCAGGAATATTACTTCAGTCTGTTATTTAGTTAGCAAAATGTGATACTGTCCAACCAGCACGCCCACCCCTATAAATATACGACCAATCCCTAAGAAACCATTTTAAAAAAAATGTGATTGCAGTTCTTTCTGTGTTAAATAGGTGACTGTAGGGTGTCTACAATATAAAGAAATGATAGTGCTTCAGAGGGGGGAAAATAGAAATGATCTGCTATAAAAATTACATTGGAAGTATTTTGTTGAAACAAATTAGGATCTTGTCATCATTAATAACGTATCAAGTTTCCATACAATATCATAGCCTGGTCGAGCAGAGATAATATAAGAGACGCAGTTAAATTATTCCCCGAAAACTAGTGAATTATAAAATACTAGTCAAGACAATGTATATTTCACTAGTTTTTGCTTATGTAAATAGTTATGGTGCTCGGTCATAACCTTAGAATGACATCTTGTCAGCCAATGAGAATACAGAACAACTTTCACGACACACACTATTTTGACATATAGCGAGTCTGATGCCGACGTGCGTAATTGAACAAAATGGAAAACAATATTACATGTACTTCATGATATTCCGTTGTATCCTCAATTTTTCAGATACACTATAGCATTTAAGGCTCAAAACCGGAACAAACGTTAGAGCGAAACTTTTCAAGGTCATGTGAAATCTCTTACTGATTTTGACAATATATATCTCTTGGGTACCATTCGAACTGCCCTAGCTACAAAATCCTCTGCAAATTTGGTCATTGACCTTATTTTGGCCAAATTTATTTAAATATGTTAAAAAATATACCATAAATGCATAGTTTTTGACAACCTTGATATTATGTACTTCATATAAAAGTTTATAGGAAATAATATTTTTCATAAATGTTCCATTAGTAAACCTATAACTATATATATAGCTTATATACTGAGTCAAAAAAGAAACTTCTCATTCTTTCTTCAGGGCACTATAAAAGAACAAGAGATGGTAAGATGGTTAAATTGTTATTATTTCATTGCTGAGATCTGTGTGATGTACTCAATACACTGACAGTGCCATAATCAGTTCCATTAGGCTACACAGCCGTTCCAAAACATGGGTATAAAGAATGTCAAATCACAAGAATAGAAATGTGAAATTTCTCAGTTCAATATCGTGTATGGCCGTCCCGCGCATTCACCACTGCCACCACAGCTCCTCATCAACTGCCTGATGCTTGTGAACACGTGGTTGGGGATTCTGCGCCATTGCTCTTGCAAGGCAGCGCCAAGTTCCTGCAAATTCTAAGGTTGGTTCCTAAGACCACGAAGCCTTCTCCCAAGTGCATCCAAAACGTGCTCTATTGGATTAAGGTCAGGGGACCTCGATGGCCAGTCCATGACGTTGATTGCAGCGTTTTGAAGGAAATTTTGTGTCAACATCGCGGTATGCGGCCGAGCATTATCATGCTGGAACTGTAGACCTGGGCCATGAGCCGCCATGAAAGGAACGAGTTCAGGGGTGAGCGCCTGGTCGGGGTAAGCAGCAGCTGTGAGGTTTCCACGGATGACCAGAAGTCAGGAACGGTTGTCCCCACAGACAGCACCCCCTCACCATGCAACTTCCACCTCCGAATCTGTCGACTTCCTGTACACAACATTGGGCATACCGTTCACGACGTCGTCTCCAGACTCTATGCCTGCCGTCCGCGAATCTGAGGGTAAACCTGGGGATTCATCGCTAAAGACGACTCAATTCCAGTCTCTCTGGGTCCATCGGAGGTGACGTTGGCCCCACAGCAGACGTTGACGTTGATGAAACGGCGTCAATATTGGCCCACGATATGGACGTCGAGAATGGAGATTGGCAGCCCGCAACCGATTTCGAATGGTCTGTGAGGGCAGTCGACCTCTAAACATCTAAGCCCTGGTTCGTGTAGCTGGCAGAAATCTGTCACGTAGGTGACGTAGGACGATTTGACGTCACACGTGGACGACCCGACCCGATGCCACCCGATCAGAAGTGGTGCCAGTTTGCTGTAGACGACCTCGCAAGTCATACACAGTACGACGTCAATAACTAATCTTCCTGCTTGCAACATGCTAACGGCACGTTCACGTTGCACGTTTGACAATCGTGGCATTTCAAGTACCGTTAGAACTGTGGTTTAAAAGTGTGTTTTTCAATTCTTGAGGCCAATGCAAACACGTGCATATGAAGAAAACTTCAATGCAAAGATCACGTGATCGACAAAATTGCTGGGGCAATTCGACTCGTAGATTGCGCCTTGACTGGCAGCATGTGTTTTGGGCTCTCTCACATTTTTCAAAATAAGTCAGTTTCTAATTGGACTACTATCACAAGTTTCTGTCAGTATTGACACAGTATTATCAGAATCATCATGTGAAAGTTTCATGTGTGGATTATATCTAAAATGCTGACTTTTGAACGTTTAAACTTCACATATTTTGTGATTTTCACATTTGTGCTTGTGAATGGTGAGCTTGTACTCACTCCTAGGACTCCCAGAGCAATCAGCGATGACAATCACCTCTACAAAATACCAGCTTCTCAGCCTAGTCAGGCCTGGTGTCCCTGACAAGATTCCTTTACAATTATTGCGTAATTTTCGTCGAGCTGGTATATGCAGTAGAAAGGCTACCAAGCGGGGCAAGCGAAGTGGGAAAAGGAAACAAAGAAAAACAAGACTTAATACTGAAGATTTTTCAGCTGATGATAACAAAGAAAACAGCAAACCAAGTGCCAATACTAACAAGAAAAATATCAAACCAGTTCACCAGAAACCAAACTATTTGAAAGCTGCGCTGTGGAATGCCCAGTCTGTCAGGAACAAGGCGTTGGAAATCTCAGATACTGTGCTTGACGACGACTTGGACCTCTTGTTTTTGACTGAAACCTGGTTAAAACCAGCTGGTGATGAAACTGTCTTAGTTGATCTAGTTCCAAAGGGCTACGAACTCAAACAGGTACCACGGCTATTAGCCATGGGAGGAGGTGTTGCAGTTATAGCTAAACAGAGTCTGAATATTGAACTCTGTACTCCTACCACTGTTTCAAGTTCATTGGAACAGATAGAGATGGTTATTACAGCTGAAAGCAGATCTACCAGGATGGTGTGTATTTACAGACCCCCACCATCGAAGACAAATAGGCTTACCATGTCTCAGTTCCATAATGCCTTTTTACTTCTAATAGAGACATTGAACACTAAAAAAGGTTCAATCATTGTATTGGGTGATTTCAATACTCATTTTGATGAGCCGAATAAGCCAGATGTCAAGAAATGTATTTTAACTCTTAAGGCAAATGGCTTTAAACAGCATGTGTCACAAGGTACTCATAAAAGTGGTCGAAATATTGATTGGATTATCACTCGGGACTCGGAAAATATTGTAGTCGAAAATCGCCTCATGTCAGACCATTTTTGGATTGGATTTAATGTTTGTTTAATGCAACTCCCAGCATTAAGGAAATCTGTATTGTGCCGCAATGTCAAGGCTATTAACATGGATGCCTTCAAGAAGGATCTCCGTGACAGTGAGCTTGTGACAAATACTCCAAAAGATGTACATTTATTGACGGACATGTACAACTCTATACTTGCAGACCTTCTGGACAAACATGCACCTCCAGTCATGAAGACAGTTCGCTGTAGGTCCACTAACCCATGGTCCTGTGAGGAAATACGAGAAGCTAAACAGTCACGGCGGATCGCTGAAAGAAGATGGCGAAAGTCAAGACTCAGTGTTCACAGAGAACTATACAAGCAGGAGCGTGATAATGTAAACATAGCAATTCGCTGCTGTAAGCAAAAGTATCACAATGAAACCATTCTGTCAAATCTTAACAAGCCAAAAGCTCTGTGGACCCATATGTCCAAGCTTCTTGGGAAAGAAAAAGACTTTACACTTCCTGATGCCGATAGTGATGAATCCTTGGCAGAGGATTTCAATGAATTTTTCACTGAGAAGGTAACTACTATTAGAAAAGCCTTCGTTCCAAGTGATCAGAATATATCGGGAGAGCAGATATCTACTGGATGCAGGATGTGCAAATTTCAACCCTTAAGTGAAAACCAGGATCTGAGTCTATCTAATAACAGACTCCAAGAATACTACTTGCGAGTTGGACCCAGTCCCGACAAATGTGCTCCTGGGGCTCCTGGATGTCCTCCTCCCTGTCATTACCAGGATCATAAACATTAGTGTTGATGTGTGAAATGCTTTCAAACAGGCAGCAGTGAAACCTCTGATTAAAAAAGCTAACCTGGACAAAAATACTTTGAAACATTATCGACCAGTTTCTAGTTTGTCCTTCCTGTCGAAAATCCTCGAAAAAGCTGTGAATGCACAGCTTTTGGATTTCCTGGAGCAAAACAATCTTATAGCAAAGTTTCAGTCAACCTATCGAAAAGTCCACACCACGGAAACTGCCCTCCGCAGAGTACTGGATGATCTTCAGCAAGCAGTGGATAACGGCAAAGTTGCAGTATTAGTTCTGCGAGATCTCTCAGCAGCGTTTGATACTGTTGATCACCAGAAACTGCTACAGTGGCTATCAGATGAGTATGGAATTGGAGAGACCGTTTTGTCCTGGTTTCGGTCCTATGTGACTGACCGAAAACAGTCATTAGTCATCAAGACGTCTCATTCCTCCACTGTCACAGTTGACTACGGAGTACCGCAGGGCTCTGTGCTGGGACCGTTACTTTTCACCCTTTATACCAGGTAGCTGGAGCAGGTTATGAGCAATCACCAGGTACTGCATCACCTATATGCTGACGACACCCAGATGGTTGACAGCTTTCTCTCAGCCAGTGACACATCACCATTGACCAATCTTGAGGATTGCTGCTCTTCAGTAAAGTCATGGATGAATGACAACATGCCTAAACTAAATGAGGACCAGACAGAGGCTATGCCTGTAGGCCCTGAAGCCCGTGCGTCAAAGGTGAACATCAGCCATCTCACTATTGGGGAAACAGAGATTTACTTCTCAACCTCTGTTAAAGATCTAGGAGTATACTTACAGTCAGACCTTTCAATGGAAAGACAAGTATCGGAGATCTGCAAGTCATGTTATCATCATATCCGGACCAACGGAAAAATACGACATCTACTGACTGAATGTTCTACAGCTGCCCTTATTCCTTCCTTCATTCTTTCCAGAATAGACTATTGTAATAGCTTGCTTTTAAACATCTCACAAGAGCTCTTAAGCCGTCTGCAACGCATAGCAAATATTGCAGCACGTATTGTGAACAAAGCACCAAAATTCTCAAGCATGACCCCTATTCTAAAACAGTTACACTGGTTGCCCATAAGAGCTAGAGTGAACTTTAAAGTTTTAACCCGTGTCTACCAGTGCATACTAGGCACTGCTCCAGCCTATCTCAAAGAACTGTTCAAACCATTCCTTCCATGCAGACAGCTTCTCTCCAGTGACAAAAACTTACTTCACATTCAAAAATGGAAGTTGAAATCCTATGGTTTTCGTTCCTTTCAAGTGGCGGCCGCGATGAACTTGAATGAGCTACCAGCTCACCTTAGAACAAGCCCAACAGTCACATGTTTCAAATCAAACCTAAAGACATACCTTTTCTCTGTGTTTTAAAAGTGACTCCTAAATTCTATCTTGTCTGCGCTATGAGCATGCTGTCGGTGTGGATTTAGCGCAATATAAATTGACTAATTATTATTATTATTAATTATTATTACCCTATTTCATCACAATCGGACTTGTTTTTATCTATGTTAAAAATACCACTGACAATAAGTTGTAACATGGAATGATGTAGTGTAATGAATCTCGTGGGTAATGCTTCCTTCAGCATAGCTTTTGAATTTTCAAACCGCATGTGTGCATATCACTGTCAGTGTCATGTGCACCCCACTCGAAAAGATAGGAACTACGGCCTAAATCTTGATTTTTCCGTAAAAACAGAAGAAAAGGTGGCTCTTTCCATAGTTCAATGATGCCGTCCATCCCAATGCAACTATACACCATCGTACCATTGAAAAAAACGATTTGTATTACTGAAGCGCTTGGTCTTCGGCAATATGGCGCCCTCCAGTCACATATGACATCACGAGCGGAAAGGTCACGTAAATTCAAGAGGAATATGCTTAATCGCCGAAGCTAAGATAACAAACTATTTTCACTATTAAAACATTAATATTCATATTTTTTTAATTGAAAATTTGGGCATATGTTTCTGATGACGCTATCTTTAACCCAGCAAATTATTGCAAATGTCTCGTATTCTCCCTTAAGCAATTTTGTTAGGACTGTTCCCTCTGTGTAAGGACTGACTGACTGAGTTTGGTTTGACGCCGCTTTTAGCAACATTCCAGCAACATCACGACAGGGGACACCAGAAATGGGCTTCACACATTGTACCCATGTGGGGATTCGAACCCGGGTTTTCGGCGTGACGAGCCAACGCTTTAACCACTTGGCTACCCCACCGCCCCCTGTGTAAGGATGCCGCATGTCGTACATAGAGGGTTATTGTACAGTCATCCACAGGATGTACATATACGCTTGGTCCAGGATCCCTAATTAGAGAAACATACATTTGTCAAATGCAGCTCTTCAACTGGGTTTACTGTTGGCGACCCCACCATACATATACCTTACATGTGGAGTTCACTGCATATCAATATGCAACTGTCAGTGCACATGAAGGTTGAGCAATGGGTAACTCGAACATGTCACTGAACTATAACTCGCTGTGTGGTGGTGTCCTCCTGTGTCATATCCAAGCTCCAGGGCACGGTTTTAGAAAGGATAGGTTTTTCAAATCGCTACGGTTTGGACGTTCACCATCAAATTTGATGTAAATGTGCTTGATAATGATTGCCATTGTTTGTGATGCACGAAACAAATCGCCAAAGCGCAGTTTGTGGCCCCTAATCTCAGAAACACGAAACACGTGCAAAACACATGCATTGGTCGGATCGTGCGAAAAATCAGTATATATGAGCTTGTCGAACACTTCAATATCACTGCATATAAAATCACACAGAAAAAATGCCAAGATTAACCCAGGAAGAAAGAGAACGAGCAGTAGGGATGGCCCAGATGGGCGAAACGCACGTCCACATAGCGAGGACACCACTGACAGTGTCCAGATTTCTCTATCGTTACAGACGGACTGGGTTGCACGTCCACATAGCGAGGACGTTCCACTGCACACCACTGACAGTGTTCAGACTTATCCATCGTCTCAGACAGACTGGGAGGACAGGCCCCGAAGTGAAAAAACACGGGTGAAGTGAAAAAACACGATTTATCTCAGAAACCCAAACGGCACTTGGTCACCGCATCAGTGGACGTTCAGTGTCAAGGAGATTACGTGCAGCGGGAATTTGTGCTTACCGTCCCTTTCGTGGCATTTCTTTGACCCCTCAGCATCGCAGTAACAGACTGCAGCGGACACGACGAGTGAACAGGTGACCAGTCCGTAATTGGCAGAGGGTGTTGTTCACAGATGAAAGCCGCTTCAGTCTGTATCGAACAGATGGCAGGGAACATTTATACAGGCGTCGTGGTGAGCGTATAACACCCCAGTGTATACGGGAGGTCCATCCTTAAGGTGGCGATGGCGTCTTGGTATGGGGTGTCATCGTTGATGATGTAAAAACACATCTGGTCATCATAAATGGAAATCTGAACGCTCGTCAGTATATTCATCAAGTTTTTCAACACGACAAGGCGAGGCCTCACACTGCAAGAGCAACGCGGCACTTTTTACAACAGAACAACGCTGACGTTTTACCCTGGCCAGCTTGCTCACCAGACATGAATCCGATTGGACGCTTGTGGGACCACCTGGACAGACAAATCAGATGTCGTCGACCAATTCCACAAGACCGACAAGAGCTGGGACGTGCACATAGACAAGAATGGCAACCTGCTAATTTTATTAAACGTTTTACTACGTCAATGATAAGCCGTATCCAGGTATGTATTGACATGGGAGGATGTCATACACGTTATTGACTCATACCGTCCTCCACGGTATTGTGCTATCGACATTAATTGTCGACACACAATTTAACAATCTGTCACAATTCCACCCCTACCGTGTTTAATTGTTTTGTTGATAATGAAAGTGGACCTACACTTTCTTCTACCCGGGAGTTTATTTTAACCGCTAACCGCGAACTATGTTCAAGTTGAGATTGTGTAAATGTTCATTTACGAAAATATTGCCAGTGTACTTGTATTCTGACAGATACACCCTGTGGAGCATGTCCAGAAGAAAAACCCAGCATATTTCATAAGAGCTGTTTGTGCACGTGCCACAAGTCAGTATTTCATGGTTCAATCGTTTTTCTGCCTCTATGGTAAGAAAAGATTATCAGATGACCAGTGATGGCAAATTGTGGAATACATAACTTCCAGTATGACGTTTAAAGTAAATGGTCGGGAGACCGGTGACAAACAACGTACACTTGGTTCGGTCTAGTAAAGTCATATTTGGCGGTCGCGCAATTTGTAACCAAAACTGGTTCTTGAATATACGCGTGTCACCGGGAATATAGTACCGCAAGTAACCTGGGCCCCGTCTCGCATATCGCCGGATACTACCGGAAGTAGCACCTCGCGAGACATACAGACCCTATATCCATTAATATGTTAAAGGTCACATGCAACCAAAAAATCAAACATAGTTAAAACACAATTATCACTTCTTCATGACATATAATATGCATTGCTGATTATGAAAAAAACAAATAAACACAATTATAAGCGTATAATCGCAAATCAAAAGTGCAATATTTTGTACTTGGGTTTACCGCCCTCGAAACGAAGCAGCCGGGATACCAAACCCAATCAGAGCGGGTGGGTGTGCACTCAAGTGTAACGGCTGGTTCATTAGCAGATGCCTCCTGCACGGCTCATTGTGTGTGTATATATAGAGATGTTGGGTTTTGTAAATACATGCTCATTTTTTGTGTATAACATTTTGCAATCAACAGACATCATAACATGTCATGTGTTCAAGTATCACACCTGCCTGTCTGTGTAATTACATAATGTGACAGAGACCTTATGCCCAAAGACCTGGGTGTCTTAGGGTTACCACACAAAGACAACACCGTTACCTCGTCAACCTTGATTTCTGAGGTCACGCCAGTTGAGTGATGAACTCTTTAACGCCACCAACGTGTCAGACAACAGTAAGAAGCAGGTTACGTTCAGCTGGTCTCCGTTTCAGTGTTCCAGCTGTTCGTCCACCACTGACAGCACGTCACCGCCAAGCACGTTTACTATGGTACTATGTCAGTAGTTCTCAGTGTTGTTTACAGATGAAAGCCGGTTTAATCTTTCATTTCATGATGTGCGAAGGAAAATCTACAGACGACGTCGGGAACGTTTTGCAGATGCTGCTGTTGCGGCCAATAACCGATTCGGTGTAGTTTACATAGTTGTCTGGGGTGGAATTACAGCTACAGCAAGGACACGATTACACGTTATTGTGGGAAACCTCACTGCACTGAGCTATAGAGATGAGATAGTGGCTCTAATTGTGGTACCATTCATGAGGACCAAACGTCACTACATAGGTGCCCCAATCCTCCAGAATGATAACGCTCGACCGTACCGTGGACACGTCGTCAACGGCTTCGTTCACCAAAAGGGGCATTAGGAGAATGGACTGGCCTTCTTGCTCCCCCGACCTTAATTCCTTGCGCCGAGTATATAAATAGCGTATAAAAGCAGCTGAAACACACCAGCACTATGTTTGATTCAAACGCCCAAACACAACAGCCTTGTCCATGTTGAAGACAGACTTTCCATGCAGCTTTAGGCAACGTTTGAATGAAACATGGTGCTGGTGTGTTTCAGCAACCATGTTTTTCGTTGATGTTGACAATGTTTCATTTCGAACTCAAGCCCAACGAATATTGAATCAGTTGCTTCACTGCATGCTCCACACATAAGTGTTATTGATAACATGTGATTTTCCTGTCACAGATACAAACCACCTGGAATACAGAATGGACCTTTCCCACATCGTTATCCTGCAGAAGAATCATAAGTATCTGGAGGAGAACCTTCAGGTCGGCCCTGTACTGGATGCCTTGTATGAGAAGTGTGTCTTAACACAGGCAGACTATGATAGATGTAGACAAGCTGGAACAGAGAAATGTGAGATGGTGTTGGAGACGCTTAAAAAGAAGGGAGTAGAAGGTTACAAGACACTCTGTGCTGTCCTCGACACAAATCAGCCATTCATCAAGGAAAGACTTGATAAGACCTCAACTGAAGCAGGTAGGCAAACCTTCCAAGGGTTTCTTGATGTAGATACAAATATTGCTAATTATCTAAGCATCATAGACAAGGAATTGCCGGCTCATCAAGTGAAGTAAGACATTGGATGTGACAACTGTATATATATCCTAAACAATTGTGTATTATTATGGTTGTAAAATTAATGTGGTTTATTTCATTACAAAAGGCCTTTATATGCGAACTACTTCCATCCATATATAATTATCCAGAGCTATAACAATAATTCCAGCCACATTCCTCTTCATGACGGTCCAATGTCAACAGTCAAAAATACGTATCGTGTGATAAGTATGCAATGGTATGTCAGTCTGCAAATTAAGACCCGCAGTTCTCCGTCTTGAATACAAGCGGATTGGCGACAATGGCGGCTTCATTATTGACTGCTTCTTCTATACATTTGAACATTTCGGCACATTCAGTGTCACCCACAAGCAGTTCCCCTCGTCTTCTGTCACACCGCCTGCCTTCTATATACATGCTGGTGAAATCCTGCATCCAACAACCTGTTTGTGACCTATCCACCAATGATTACCTCTCCACTGTTGGTCAGTGTGCTTCCTGGGACTGGCGGTTGCTTATTGACTGACATTGCTGACAACTGCAAGACTATAATATCCCACCATCCGCCCTTCTTTTCTTCCTGCAATTATCAAGGAATGAGCGGCAGCTCATCAACGGTCCTGAAATGCTGGATGTAGCTGGTTATTTTAGCGACGCTACACTTTAAGCGCTAGAAGAATACAAATGACACATGTTTTCTGTCAAGGCGACAACAGTCCAAGTGCACCTGCCCAATATCTGCCCAACATTGACTCGTTTAATAGATATGGTATTACACGGAAGGTCGTTTATTAGCCTCTATATCATGTGCTGCCACTACTCACTGCAATGACGGTTTGGATTGAAGATGTCTTCTCTAAGACAGAATCAGACATTGTTTCTGTCCTTCATTCAGTCTGTTTTGCACCGTCGAGCACATGTTCCTAATCAGCAAGGTTCTCTACAGCGTAACTCTCTGAAGTACACAGTGTCCTGAAATATTCCAAACATACCCAATAAGATTCTGGTCTTGAGTTTGTGCTGGCCATGGGAGAGTTGTGATTGACTCTAGACGTAGGAAATACATCACTGCACCTCTCTGGGGACAGTGTTCGCATGTAAACTGGCCTTGTTGAAACAGGATGGTGTCAAAATGTGGTATCTCTCCAAGATGTCCACTAGATGTTTCTGGCAATCAAAAATGCTTCTCACAGGACAAATTTAAGTTTCAGTCATAAGATAATCGCACACCATAACAGACCTACAACAAAATACAAACTGCTCCATAATATTTTATTGTGCTCTACATATGATCGACCCGTGAAGGTCTGGGTTAGAATATTGGCCTTCAGTAATCCATGCTTGTCGTAAGAGACGACTAACGTGATCGGGTGGTCTGGCTCGCTGACTTGGTTCACACATGTCATCGGTTCCCAGTTTGCACAGATTGATGTCCATGCTGTTGATCACTGGATTGTGTGGTCCAGACTCGATTATTTACAGACCGCCGCCATACAGCTAGAATATAGATGAGTGCGGTGTAAAAGTAAACTCACTCACTCTTCATATGATAAATCATGTGACACCGTTATCTTAAAAATAAAATAAAATATTTTTCAGGCACCCCAGATCTCGTCTATGTTAACAAGGGCAAACTGGAAGCTCAGTACAAAAAGGAACTTGCTAAAAAAGATGGAGAGGTAGCTGACTTGAAATCTGTAAGTTGTGATTATGCATTGCAATTTGGCATTCTTATAAGGCTAAATGCCCTTTGTCTTGTGAATAGTTGAAAATTGATAAGATTATTACTGGACACACGTTTAGTGTTTCCCAACGGTAGAAAACCTAAAACATACTTTGTCAGCAACTTTGAAGGTTGTATATTATGACGTGTAATGTGATAAAGGGTCAGGTGGTTTGTCTTCAAGAACCGTTATTTACTTCTTTACCGGCCTTTCATGTTTGTTCCCAGTCAATAGAAGGACTTGAGCAGCAAATTGAACAGAACCACTTTGTTCATGCTGAAGTGGAGGAAAGATTGAAGAAAGAAATTGATGAACACATCACAGAGATAGAAAAGAAGAACGAGCAAATTGAAACTCGTAAGTTGATACTTATATATTTCAATATACATTACTAACAAACAAAGAACAAATGCCCTGTTGTACATGTTGTTGACTTGTACATGTCCAATATGAAAATATTGCATCTGAACTCAGCATCAGAAACGTGTGCTCTCAGAAGCCAAAATGTGTGCGCCCTAAGAGAAACTCACAATCCTAAAACCTAACACAAATGACCAGACAAAATCACGAATTGTACATGTGGGAACGATAGAGGGCAGGATGTAGAGAGGTAGCGCCAGGCAACACGGACGGCCTGTGCGCGAATGAAGTTAAATGTTTACCGACAAATTACGATTTTGCCTGGGTTTCACCGCTGGCAGAAAAACGTCAGCGACGTAGCGAGTACATCACAGCGTCAACCATTCTTGACCATGATCTTTATGGGACCATTAGTCATGGAGTGGGGTGGGGATGGGTTGGGTGATAACCCACATGACAGGCAAACTGATTTGGCTTTTGTGAACAGAGATTTGTCTCGCTAGGAATATGTTGACGGAAGTATACGTCGATGACAATGTCACACCTAATCATTCGCATGTCGATACCGATTATCCCTGATGCTTTTGGATACTGATATGCAACTGGCCGACTCTCGGGATGTCACCTTCACTATGATGTCATCAGTGACCTTATTGTCATCAATGTATTGTAGTAAATAATTTATCCGATAATTTTCATTCACCATTTCGATAATACAGTTTGTCAGCGTCGATGGTGATACCTGTAATATTGCAGGTAGTAATATTTCGGAAAAGAAAGGAATTTACTTGCAATTAAACATGACAACGAATACCTGTAATGTGAAAACTGTTATTTGCTTCAGTTCTTCCATTTTTGTCGTTTCAGTAAAAACAGCACTGTCAAAGTCAAAAGAAGAGTTGCAGCAGTCTCAAGCAAAATGTGACAAAATGGAGATGGTGGGTAATTGATGATAATTTTATGTGTTGTAAGTCTTAATCTAAGAAAACTTCTAAAATAAGGAAGAACAAATCCATGCACAACATCATAATAAAACGTCAAATGAGATGCAGTGATATCTGTGATTTCAGACACTGCGGGAAGAACAGGAGGCATACGATGCTCTAGTGGGTGTTCCAAGGTCACAGTCTCCAGACAGGGTGGACAATACAGAGAAAGTCCAGCATGGAGGTACATTAAGCAGACCGATAATCCGTCATGCATATGAGTAGTCTGGCAGAAAACGTTTCGTGACGTTATTTTGGTCACTTTACTCAAAAGCTATAAATACAATCGTTTTCTAATTTGGCACATTTGCATGGCCAGGTGGCTGTTCCGATTAGTCGCCTAACTCCCTTGGCATTTAAGATGTAATTGTATCTTGACACAATGATAGGTTATATAGACCACTTTTTAATTATTAAATCATAATTCATGAAATTCAATATTCACAGTGGTGGAACAATTATCATGCATCATGCTAAATTAGAAAATGACTGTACTAGTAGATTTTGAGTAAAGTGACAAAACACCGTTACGAAGAGTTTTCTGTAAGAGAATAACATTAAGAAAGTAAGAATATTTATGGATAACAACTTCTTTATTATATATGATGCGACGTTTCGGTATGGATTCTTATAACGTTGTCAAGCAAGAGTGAAGTACTACAGCACAGGACAGGCTTATATACATGAACAGGGATTAAGTAATAACAACATGTAGGACTGAATGAGGGGGATTAACAATAACAACAAGGCACGGTGGCAATAATGTAGTGACAATAGGAAGCCAATGGTGGTTGATGTAAAAAACAAAATATACATGCTGATGAGATTAATTAACAATGATGGCTGAGGTGCTCTAATCTGTTGTTTTTATGAGGTCATTGTATGCAGAAGGGATGAGATATCCCTGGTCTCTGCTGATTGAGGGCTTGTGTCTCCGGATTTGAACTGCTTCTGCAAGTTTCCTTTGGTGAAGTCCTGGTGGTTTTGGATAATATGTCCACATTGTCCCAAATTATGTTGTGATTGGGGCAGTTGATGATGTGGTCTGATAATGCCGATTTTCTATCAGATTTAGTGGTAGATGATAAGTGTTCTTTGATTCGGATGTTGATGGGCCGGGAGGTTTCGCCTACATAGGCCTCCGCCACAGTCACAGTTGATTTTATAGACAACACCTTTGGGTTGATGTTGTCGTTTAGAGGTGTTCTTGCCATTCGCTTTCAGTAGGGTTTTAGTGGTGTAGAGCTGGTAAAGTAGGTTTCGATGCCTGCTTCTCGCTTGAGGAGACGGCTGATGTGGTGAGAGGTTTTCCCTATGAAGGAGGGAGATACGAATAGGTGCTGGTTCAGGTTTGTTGGAGGCCGGTTTTCTTGTTGGGTGGAGTGTGGTGCTGATAATTTTATCGACTAGTTTCGACGGGTAGTGGTTGAACTTGGTGAAAACATGGCGGAGGTGCTGTATTTCTGTAGTGGACTGGTGGAGGAAAGGTTGATGGCTCGTCTGGTGAGGGTGGAGATAATGCCAGTTTTGGTTCTCAAAGGGTGGTTGGAGTCAAAATGAGTGTATTGGTCGGAGTGGGTTGGCTTTCTATAGACACTGGTACGGATCTTGTTGGCTGGAGTTCTGGTTACAAGGACATCTAGAAAGGGAAGTTGACCACTGGATTCTGTTTCTAAGGTGAATTGGACCCGGGGGTGCTGTTGGTTGAGGTGTTGCAGGAGGGCTGCTGGGTCTTGGTCTTGCCGAAGGATGACAAACGTGTCATCGACCTTCCTGTACCAGCAGTAGTACTTCACTCTTGCTTGACAACGGTATAAGAATCCATACCGAAACGTCGCATCATATATAATAAAGAAGTTGTTATCCATAAATATTCTTACTTTCTTATTAGTCACCAACTTCTAAATGCCAATCAAACAGAATAACATTAATTACAACAAAAGTGTGTGTGAATGTGTCATTTTTATGCTGTTTGATTCCACTGAGACAGTGTGCCAGCTATCAACTGAGTCCTGTTGTGATGAGAGTCAGCTTCGTCTTCTTCCATGCCTTCATTCTGCCTGCAAGCCATGCCTTGATCACCTAGCTACACAGGCGGAAGGGAACTGCATACACTGTCCTTCCTGTGGTCGTGACTTCACCATGGAGCAGACAACAGTACATCATGTCAGACGCAATGAAACTGCCTATAAAGTCAACGTTGATGGTTACACGAAATGCAACTACACCGAACACGATCATGATGTAAAGCATGTGATGTACTGTAGCGAATGTGATAAAAGTTCTGCTCTGACTGTCATAAACTTAACGACAAAAGAAAACGGAATCGAAATCACAGAGTAACTGCGATCAACCGGGCAGAGAATATCCCTTTGAAGCAGTGCCTGAAGGAACGTAATTGCAGGGACCATCCTGCCAACACACTGCAGCTGTATGACTACACGTGTAAGAAGGCAATCTGTCGTGTATGTGAACTTGGGGCCCACAACAAGCACAAGAATGAAGACTTGAATCAGGCCTATGACGTAGCAAAGGGTCAGCTGGAGGAGCAAGTGAAGAAGCAGCAACATAAACTGAAAGATGTGACCAGCAGGATGCAAACTGTCACAAGTCACCAAACTGAAGTGAAAACTACGCAGAGAAGACTAGAACAAATTGCGACTAAAGTTTGCAAAAGTGTTGCTGTAAAGCTTCTTCATCGACAGAGACAACTCATGGAGGAAATTCAAGCGAGTCTACAATCCCCATACAGAATGGTTCAAGAGAAACATGACACTTTACATGACGTCCATACTTCAATAGTATCGGCGATAGACTACACCCAGAGAACACTTGCATCTACAAGACGAGAGGAGCTCATTACTCTCACAGATGTACAGCATACGAAAAGTGATGAAAATCTGAAGATGAAGCTTCCAGAAGATGACACACAAGATACGAAAATCCTTCTTTCCTTTCAAGGCCAGAGAGATCTGGAGGAACTTATCGACACATTTGGTGGACTTGCCTCCTGTCTCGACGTGGATGACATACCAGACAAACAACCTACTTTACAGGATAACGAGATTTTTCCAAAAATGTTAAAAACAGAACACTTCTCCTAATCTTAAGAACTTCCTTCTAAGATTTCATTTTATCATCCAAAACTGTGTTCCACAGGAGATATCGCTTGTGTGAGATCAAACGATATCTCCTAGGAGATATCGTTTTGACAGTAGATTTTGTACAATGCCCTGACAATGCAATGACGTCATGTACTTGATGACGTCACAATGCTATGACATCGCTGCACTGCAAGTCTAATGGCAGTACCATGTTCAGAGATGTACATTTTGCATTGAAAATTAATGAAGAGTGATTTTGGATGATAAATAGAATCTCACCCTCGTGTCTTCTGATATCAAATATATCAAAACTCGTTGATAAAGGTAAAAATATCCTCGGCAAGCCTCGGATATTTGTAACTTTATCAACTCGTCTTGATATAATTGATATCAGAAGACACTTGGGTGAGATTCTCTATGTACTCGGGAGATAGAATATAACTCAAATACATATTTTACATATTCCTCACACGAGTTACATCTTTAATTGAATCTTATAAGTTCCATCTGCACTGATAATCTCTCAAAATCTATTGTTTTTGTAGTGTCTTGTAGCCTCTGAAACAAGCTGTGTGTATCGTGTGTACACACTGAGGAGTTTGAAACCAACTCCTGTGTCACAAACGCCATTCCCCCACAAGCGAAGAGAGTATCTTCTCTCTGTCGAAAAGCACAAGAAAATGAGTTACGCGTGTTGGTAATTTGTGCCTTAGAACCCAATTCTTACATCACGGTTCGGTGTTCAATATACACGTTAAGTTATTATATTGCATGTCTTGCATGTCTTATTATTATTATTGCTGATCGTGTTAGATATCTCTTGTTATTACATGCTGACTTACCTTCATCAAATGGTATAGTATCATATTTTATTTGGCTTGATTCTTATCAACATGTGTTTGTATTTTCCTCTTCAGATCTCCAGAAATGGAATATGCAATTGACCTTAAAAGAGGAAAACACCAGGAAGGTAATGTATTGCTTTTGTGAAAAGAACATATCTAACACACTGATGAAAATGTTTTCTGAGAAAAAGTTTTACAGGCTGTTTATGCTGAAAGTCATTCATGGCTTGTATTGTAAGAAAGAAGATATGTCATTAGATATAGGCGTGATACACACAGCTACTCAGTAAGTCGAATGTTATAATCTAGTATTTATGATGTGGGCGTTGTTGTTTCAGGTACATGAAGGACGGTGGCATCAGCTTGGGGAGATCATTCATCGTATCACAGGTACAAGATAATAACTGGGTTAGGTCGTGAAAAGCAGATCAAATACCAAATTGATTACCTCATATTTCTACTTTCAACTGAATTATCGCACCACTCGTTGATATATCATTAAGTAATAAGTAATGAGACATTATTGCCTTTATGTATTGAAATACAGTTGAAACGGGGTTTTTTTTCAGCAGGAACTGTCTCCCGTACATCTAAATCACAAGGACTCCGACCTGAACAGCTAACATCACAGGAAGTCGCATCTGAACAGCTGACACCACAGGAAGTGGAACCTGAAAAGTTGAAGTCACAGGACGTTTTTCAAGCGGCTAAACATGTAAGTTGAATGTCATACAAATATCCCTAAATGACAATGTAAGCTCCATATTATAGAACAAATCGAAATTCAATTTAGCTCTGATTCTTCATTTCCACAAACGTATTTAGGTTCATGCATGTCACTCATACAATCTGACGATCTTTCATCGTTTATTTTCAGTTCATACTCGGAGCGTTCGCCCCTTTAGAGACACCTGAGCGTGGTTTGTGCCTGAAAGGTAAGTACATGGGGAGTTGTTTTGTTGTTGTAATCTTCTCTGAGTCATACGTATAGTAACTAAGTTTCGTTATGTGTCATCCGTGCATTACATTGACAGGTAACAGATGCTATACAACTGTTATGTTCAGTAGAATACTGCGTCTCTTTAATGGGCTACCAATTTGCGACACGTCACAACCAGTTGCCTCAAACCTACTTTATATTGTGAAAAAATAAATATGTTACCCCGAAGGCCTGTTCTTTTTAATTGGCATTATTTCGACTTTGTAATATCTGGTTCCCACGCAGTTTAAAACGTACTGTGACATGTAACAGTGTAGCAAGTACTCAGAATGACATAATATACTTTACTGCATTCTAAAGGACAATATGAGATGTGCAGTTCACCTAATTATGTGCTTCTTAATTTCATGTTTTGACATGGGTTGTCAATGTCGACTACAGCACCTCCGCTACTTGAGTAGAATTGCGCCCCTTACGCGTGTCATATTCCTGTGATCCTAACCAAACAATGTTCAAAGCGACCATAATCAAAACTCACTGACTCACCAACCCTTTTCACTGTAGAGCACATGTGATAGCAGTCTACAAAAACACATTCATGTGTTACCATGGAAACTATGTTGCAGGGTATTCAGGCACAGTGCACATCCGAAGGAGGAGAGGACGTTCTAAATTCATCACTTGTAAGTAAATTCTATTTTTATGCAGTTTGTTTATGTGGCGAATACTAGGCGTGGCAATAGTGTTCTGTTGATGGGAACCTCAACATATAAAACACTAGTCTGTCTCACGGTCCCTGAACCACATTATTCTTCCTACTGCCTTGCCCTCCCTACAAAACTAAGGCCCTAAATGAAGCAAGGCTCCGTCACTGAGGCTTCTTTTCATTTTAAATGGGTTTATTTGTTACTATCAAAATTATATATATTCACTGACTAAGCTTTAGTCTAATAAAACACCAACAGGGGCTTCTTTGGAGTTAATTTGTTGTTCGTGTCACCAGCATCCGATAGGCTGACTAGACAATAATCATACCACCACGATGCAGATGGAACGCTGCTGAAAATGTAAATGCTTCAGTTATTTGACCCCTGCAAATGCAGCAGTAGAAGTGAGTGGTAAGGAAGATATCATTGCACGGGACACATTATACTTCAGTGTGACCCAAGCCGTTGTTTTGTTTGTTTAACGTCGCACTAAGCAACATTCCAACTATATGGCGGCAGTCTGTAAATAATCGAGTTTTGGACCAATGATCAACAACAGGAACTTCACTTTACGCAGCAACCACCCGACCCCGTAAGTCGCCTCTTACAACAAGCATGGGTTGCTAAAGACCCATTCTAACTCATACCCAAGCCGTTATACTTTTCGGTTATACTTGTATGATGGTGTGGACAATTGTTATGCTTCTGTATATGACTAAACTTGTCCACCACTGAAGGATGTCTGGTAGCAGCAGTAGTATATCTCCAATGTGACCCAAGTCGTTGTACTACGCAGGTGTATTCATGTATGAAAAGAACTTGAAGTTCCCGTGGTCGCTGTGTTACTAAACTTAGACCCGTATCTAATGTTCTATTATGTATCTTCGTCATAACCTGCTTACTTTATATTGATTTTACAAAAGGTATCTAGGGTATAAATCGTTTTCTCCCCACACACTCTATCTCACACCTCCTCTATCTCTTCTCTTTCTTTCTTGCTCCTCTGTATATACATATATACATACCTAATGTCTTACACAATGTGAGCTTACAATTGAAAACGTTTTCAGTATAGCCAATGACTAGCTGAAAATCAGCAATGGCACCATATGCAATATGTGATGATCATGTTCAGCACTATCAGTAGCACCCGCCATCGCACATTTATTTTTAAAATGGGCACTGAGAAATAATCATACCCTTTGAAGGCGGCCTGGACCAGATAATCCAGTGATCAGTAAACTGAACAGTGACCAACGTCATGGGGTTATGATCACCAAGGAGATGGCGTAATGTGTGGTAATGTGTGAAAACTTGTTGACTGACAAAATGCCATATTTAGTAAATTACTCTGAATGTCTATCATAACATATATGGAATGACTTGACCAGACCGGTAGTGGAAAATCCTTGACTAAAAAACAAGTTATTAGGACAATGTGTTTTTCTGTAAAATGTGAATGATATGTCCATCATCTCTAATGCACCTAAGCAAATGGAAAATGTCCTCTGCTGACTGCATTTCGCTTAACATTAAAGAGTAACATATGTTATATTTGGGATTACACTTTCTTAGTAAAGTACAAATTCTAGTACTTTTTAGAGTTAAGCCCCATCCGGGATTCAAACTGACATCCTCAGAGTCAGGCACCTAATCGCCAGCACACAAAGTCAGCTGACTAACCCGCTCAGCTGCCGCGACTTCCACCAAAATGGAAGTCGGACAACTGGTAGTCTAGACTTTGGGCTCTTTGTACCCCTCTGATAACTGTTAATTGGCCGAAAGCTATGATTACACATTTAGACATTTAGAAAGTGGTCAAATGTAACATATGGTATATTTGGGATTTTGGGATTACACTTTCTTAGTGAAGAGGTTGGATACCTTTGTTTGTGCGCATACCGTATGCGACGGGATGTGACAGTAGGAGCGCGTATCTGTTAGTTTTTACCCGCCGTGATGTTGCTGGAATATTGCTAAAAGCGGCGTAAAACCAAACTCAGTCAGTCAGTGTTAGTTTTTATGTTACGCAGTTATTTCCCTTTATCTTTCTTCTGATCATACTTTATGATATTTTGGCCACACAAGCATTTATACTGAGGTAAACATGGGCAAGAGTTATCTCCCCTTATCACATTAATTTGGGTATGCTGTTCTAATTGGCGATAATGTTGATACCCTCTGGTAACATATTTTTATATTTTTTTAAATATCAATCTAGTGTGAATTTACTATATAAAATTCATTTCATAAAAAATCATGTTTTCATTAATGAATCAATGTTATTTTTTAATTCCTGTTTTTTGGGAAGTTAAATAATGTGTCAAATCCTACATACTGCCTTGAAAATTGATTTTCCTGCTTCATTTCATATCAATACTGAAATATCTTTATAAAAAAACCACATACTGAATAAAAAAAGTAAACAATGTACTTTTAAGAGAACTTTTATTGACATATTAGTTTTTACAGATGGTGCCACAAGGGGTCGCCACTTGTCAAACAAATGCCGTGGTGACTTGTTACTTTTATTACATAATTAGATTCGGGACACATTTGTCTACAACGTGATATCAAATCTAGCAAGTTCTTGACATTTTGTATACAACCTCCTTAAGGTGAAAATTTAGGATGGGAAATCATACATGAAGAATGAAGGTTTATTGATTCATGCAAAAAAACCACGTTCATGTCTGTTTAGGACTTTTGACAAGAATGGGCTAACCCGTCTCTGGTGTTAATGAAAGGAACTACATGGAACAGGTTCCCGATGTTCTGAAATTTCATCATCCAATATATTTAAACACATGAGGAGTATTTAAAACACTGTTCCGTATGAAAAAGTGGAGAATGGTGGCTTTACTTTGATCATCAAGATGATCCTATGCTTGAACATAGTGCAAATCATCTTTACTATACATCAGGTGGAATCATTGTGGATTATTGTCAGAATGGATGCATTTCATATGTCTTGATAAGAATAATAGCGTAGCGATTTACGCACTTCGTTCACAAATATCCGTCCCCCTCGAGACACGAGACAACCTTCCCCACACAGCCAGTGTCTTGAAACTGTGTTCAGTGATTGAAGCGGACGTAGAAGTTACCTGTTTACGTTCTCTCTGTGAACACATAAATGTAAACATATCGCCAAACAAAGCTTCTGTCTGTCTCACTCTTTACTGTTTTGTGTGATATGAGTTTAGAATACCTATAGTGATAACTTGTTTGAGTGGCATTTTAGAAGTTGAGACGTACAATATATAACAAGTTTTATGGATAACAACTTCTTTATTTTCGTGAGTGCGACGTTTCGATACAGATTCTTGTACCGTTGTCAAGCAAGAGTGGTACATGAAGTGTAGGAGCTGCATATATATACTGTATATAACAATGAAACAACATAATAGACAAAGGAAACAACATAATTGCCATGATTGGCTAAGCAGTAAGCTGATGAAGCCAGTAAGTACATAAAGGATAGTGAGTGGAAGCCAGAGATGTAGTTACAATGAGATGTTTATACAATGGATGCGATGTTTATACAATAGACTGGGCTTGGTGGAGGAGTGGATCATAAGCAGATGGAATGAAGTATCCTTGGTCACGGTTGATGGTAGGCTTGTGGCGTTTGATGTGAATGGCTTCTGTGAGCTTGCGTTTAGTGAAGTCCGTTTGGTTGTTGGCGAGAATGGTGATGTCGGACCACTCTATTTGATGATTGGGGTTGGCTTTGATGTGGTCAGAGATAGCTGATTTGGTGTCGGAATTAGCAACAGAGGTGCGATGTTCTTTGACTCGGGTGTTGATGGGTCGGGATGTAATAGCGATTTGAATCTACGATCGTTTGTTAAACAACTTTTATCCTCAGTTGAATAAAAAATTTAGATTGAAATTTTCACTTAAAATTTTTTTGAGGATTCTCAATCTTAATTTCACTTTACTTGGTTTAGTTTTTGTTTAAAGTGAAATTCATCGGTACATTTTCACTCCAAACAAAGTTTACGCGGCTTTTGTTGACTTCAAAAAATCGTTTGGCTTTATCCCAAGGAAGAAATTACTCTATCTTCTGCCATGGTAAACTATATAACAGCATTAAGAGTATGTACAGTCATGTTATAGCTTGCGTCAAAGTGGATGGCCAGAAAACCCCTGCATTTCCAACGTCATCTAGTGTTAGGCAAGGATGTATATTATGTCCCTTATTGTTCATATTTTTCATCAACGAACTGGTACGTGATATTAATTCTACTTGTGAACATGGAGTGTTTGTTTCCTCGTTTGTTGAAGACATTATGCTACTATTGTTTGCTGACGACATTATTACATTCTCGTATACTGTTGTTGGACTACATAGACAGCTTACCTTTATAACAGAGTATTGTGCTAAATGGGGACTGGTGATTAACATGGACAAAACTTACATTATCGTATTTAGGAAAGATGGAATTGTTGCAAAGAATGAATCATGGACAGTATGTGGGAAATCTATAAAGATTGTAACCTATTACAAATATCTTGGTTTGTCATTCTCCTGCGTATTAAAATGGTCCAAAGCTTGCCAAACACTGGTGTCGCAGGCGAGAAAAGCTGTCTTACCTTTATATCAGCTATTCAGACAGTGTAAAGACTTACCATTCTCCATAGCGTACAAATTGTTTGACACCAAGATATCTCCAATACTACTGTACTCATCTGAGGTACGGGGTTCTGCTTACCAGGAATCTATCGAGAAATTTTATACATCGTACTTCAAGAGAATTTTAGGAGTTGGGAAGATTGCGGCAAATAAAGCGATCCTTGGATAAACTGGGTGTTACACCATGCATGTTTGTGTCCAATGTAAAGTAATTAAATATTGGCTTCGTCTTCTAAGACAAGACACACGGAGATATCGACACAGTTGTTATTTATTGTTGAAACAACTGGACGAGGATGGAAGACACACCTAATGTACGAAGTTTATTGTTTGTGATTGGATATTCCTATGTTTTGCCGGCTCAAGATGTTGGTGATCCGAAACAGTTTCTCTACATCTTCAAGCAGCGCCTAATTGATATGTTCTTACAAG